TCCTTGGAGCTTACAATCTAGGAGGGAGGGGTGAATGGTACAATAGGTAGTAACTGTGGGGGATGGACTGGTTGGAAAAGTAGAGGATTCCCGTATTAGCAGAGGGCGGGATAGGCTTCCCTGAAGAGATAGGTTTTCAGTGATCGCCTAAAGGTAAGTAAAGTAGGCGATAGTCTGATAGATTGGGGTAGGGAGTTCCAGAGTATGGGTGATGCCCTGGAGAAGTCTTGGAGACGGGCATGGGAGGAGGAGATAAGTGAGCTAGAGAGTAGGAGGTCTTGCGAGGAGCGGAGTGTACGGTTTGGGTAATGTTTAGAGATAAGATCGGTTATGTAAATTGGGGCAGTGTTGTGGATGGCTTTATATGTCATTGTTAATGTTTTGAATTTTATCCGTTGGGCAACTGGAAGCCAGTGAAGGGATTGGCAGAGAGAGGTTTTTTCCCTTTGCTTTCACCTGGTCATCTGGCCACTAACATACCTTTTTGTATTAGAGTGCCCCCACTCTGGATGAAGGAGTAACAGAGATATCTTTGGACAGCAGCACTGTCAGTCTGTGCGGAGGGGAGTGTTAGATGTACTAGCAGATTTAGATACACTATCACATTGAGGACAAACGCAGCTTACACATTTAGGCAGCTACAGCAACATTTTTTTCATTTTGGGATAAAGGTTTTACATAAATAAATACAAGCTTGTCATTGTAAGCACCTGTTAGTGTTAATGGTTTGTCTCAACCCTGTAACTGCTACATCTGTAGCACAGCTTGCGCTGTTGAACAACAACAACATACTGGCAGGATCACCAGATGAAAATAAATGAAAGAAAGCTTAAAAAAGAGAAATGAATGCAGCCATCACATCAAAGAATTGGTATGTTGCAATATAATAAATGCTAACATTAGGTTACAATGTAACCATCCTAACCTTTGGTAGCGAGAACATATTAGTGTAAAGGCCCATTCACACTATGCTGTGCATTATCATGTGTTGCATTAAGTTGGACAATCATTTGAATGAGCTGCTCAGAACACCAAAAAAGGTGTATGTAACATTTTTGTTTGAACACCACACTACAATGCACAGCAAGGTGCGTTGGAGTTCTATTCAGAATGGAGGCCTAAAGGAGGCCTAACTGTACAGAACATGTATCAGGACTGTGCTACAACCATGAGATGTTCACCTATCATGTTTTGCATTGCTGTAATAATTTTTAAGACTGTAGGTAATTCCATAAACTATAACTTATTTGGTGGTATTTGCCATAACAATCATTATTTTTAGCAATGTAACTAATTCTCTGCATTTTAAAGGCTCGAGTCACAAAGCTTTAAAGTGGTTGTAAACCCTTACATATAGCCAGTGCAGTGAGTCAATGATACACAGAGATTAAACAAATCCTTCTACATAAGTTGAGCCTGTTTATTTGCAGTCTTCCCCTTTTTACGATCGTCCAAAGTGCAGAATTTACAAAGCTGTCTGAGCTATCCAAAAACAGGGGGTGGGCAGCTGAAATTACACTCTGCAGAGCTCAGTGAGGAGAGATTTGATTGGAGGGGAGGGACTACCCCCCTTCTCTCAAACAACACACAGAAACAGAGCTGAGGCTGTCAATCCCAGGCTATGTGCTGAAGGTCCCTCCCCGTCACCTTTTTTCTCTTGGTGTCTGGAAAACCTGACAGAAGTGATTTATGCTGATAGCAGAGGAATTAGGCAGCAGACAGAAATGACACTTAGTGCTCTGGATCGAGACAAGTACACACTATAGAAGGATATGCTTTGTTCATATTTCATGTCTGAGATGTACAACTACTTTAACACAAGCCTAACACTCTATTTTTAGCCATGTGACTGCAATTCTTAAATCTCACTGGACTTGCGAATAATAACAGTCACTTTTTTGAAACATGGGATCCTTTTCCTGGTGTGTTAGCTTTGTGAGCTGAGCCTATTATGACAGATAAAAATTGTATTCCTATAATACATTCAATAATTCTGCAGTTTTCCTTAATAATACACCTGCATTTAAGGATCCAACTTTTTTAGAACTCTGTAAAAATGTGGAAGTTTTCAAAGCAACATAAGGCAAATGACAAACTACTAACTGCAACTCCTCTTGACACACTGTTAATTGCCAATCAACCTAACATGAGTCACCTTGACAGCTGTACTTTTAGCTGTTGTTCAGTTACGTTAAAGTTAAAATATCTTATTTTGTTAATTTATGTATTTTTTAACTGTGACAGCATTACCTACTGTGACATTTAGCTTCAAATAGTTTTTTTCCAAAGACTCAGTCAACTCCCCAGAATGCATTTTAGGGCTTTTTTTCCACTTTAATGCATCCAAACATCTGCCCTTGCAGGGGTTGTTTAGCATAAGGGCTCATTTACATGGCCATATAGTTCATTGCTCCGGTGTGAATGAGCTAACAGAGGATCCAAATGTATCCCATATGATTTGCTGTAGCAAATTACAACCAAAAGCAAGCTGTTCATGAAAGGTTAACCCATTGTTGACAGCTAAAACTACTGCTTATACAGTGATCTTCACTGTATAACTAATATCAAGAAACAAAATCCCTGATTCCCCCCCCCCCCCCCGGAGCTACTACTCTGATGATAGTCCAGGCCAATGTTCAGCTTTCAGCGCTGTCACACTTTGAATGACAATTGCGCGGTTTTGCAACACTGTACCAAAATGAAATTTTTAGCACATTTTTGAGACAGATAGAACCTTCTTTTGTTGGTATTTACTCACCACCTGGATTTTAATTTTTTTGCTATATAAATGAAAAAAGACCAAAAAAACATGTTTTTCTTATAAAATTTAGCAAATAAATAATCTTTCTTCATAAATTTTTGCCAAAATGAATTCTTCTACCATTTTGGTAAAAAAATAAACCAAAATCTGTTTATAGAAAAATAATTTAAAAAAAAAATTTACATTAATGTTTTTTATTTTATTTTCTTATGTATTTTTTTTTTTCACATACCATCACCCTAGCACAGTGGTCACTAAATGGCAGACCGCGGTCTAGAACCAGACCAAGGAACAATCCTCTCTGGACTGCGGCTACGCCATTGCTGGGTGCCCTCCCTGGGCCCCCCACCCAGCCAACGAGGCCATCCCCACAGCGGGTGCGAGGAGCTGCAGATCGGAACTGAGGAGCAGGAGCTGCCCAAGTCACCATGTCAACAAGTGGGCTGGCCCCGCCTCGAACTCCAGAGAGCGGACATCCCCACACACCAACAAGCCAGGCAATCACCAGATCCCGCCACCCAGTCCCGACCTGCAGCCCCCCACAACCCACCCACAGAAAGTATGACACCGGCGGCCGAGCGGGAGGCCCAGAAGAGGACACCCAGCAGCAGCAGTGGCACGGCCGAGGTTTGGACAGGACACCCCACACCTAGCCCACCTTGAATATGACACTGGTAGTGGGCTGGAGGCCCAGGAGAGGACACCCCAGAAAGATTAGCGTCTCTGCCCTGCCTAAGTTACCAGTGTTAGGGGCGCTATGTTGTGTTAGGGGCGCTGTGTTGTGTTAGGGGCGCTATGTTGTGTTAGGGGCGCTGTGTTGTGTTAGAGGCGCTGTGTTATGTTAGAGGCGCTGTTGTGTTAAAGGGCGCTGTGTTATGGGTGCTGTCTGTTTTAGGGCCGCTGTGTTGTGTTAAGGGGTGCTGTGTTATACTGCATTTTGTATTTATTTGGGTTATCTTTATCTTTGTGTAATATTCAAATTTGATTATCTGAATCATTTGACAAATATGCAAAAAAATAAAAATCTTGAAGGGGGCAAATTGGGATTTTTTTTTACCAAAGACATGTAGAAGAATACATTTGTCCAAAATTTATAAAAACATTTTTTTTTAATTGGATATGTTTTATAACAGAAAGAAATAAAACACAATATTTTTTAAAGTGTTGATCTTTTTTTTGTTTACATAATAAAAAAATAAAAAACCCAGTGGTGATCAAATACCACCAAAAGAAAGCTCTATTTGTGTGAAAAATATTATATAAATTTAATTTGGGTACAGTGTTGCAAGATAGCGCAATTGCTAGTTAAAGTAGCACAGTGCTGAATAGCAAAAATGCCCTGGTCATAGAGGGGGTAAAACCTTCTGGAGATCAAGTTGTTAATGTCTAAAAAAAACACTGAAGTGGTGAAAGGTTATTTACCCTGTGGCTTTCATAAACGACACTAGATAAAGCACTATTAGGGGCCATTCCACAGGTTAATGCCTGTGAATCGAGCTATCCTCACAAACACTGTGTACAGAACCGATCTGAGTGGCTCTTTACTTTGAGATTGCTGTGATTGGTCATAGAGAGACCAACTACAGCAACTATAGACGTAAACAATATAGTGTTTATATCTGTGTGACCTATATGTGGGGTCATTTTGGGAGTGTTTATATCGTAAGCAAGGGAAACAGTTTTCATATGTGTTCCTTTATATAGTGGAAAATTAAAGAAAAAAAAAAAAAAAAAAAAAAAAAAAAAACACAGTGGTTGCTAAATAACACCAAAAACGCTATATGAAGGGGTTATACAAGCTGGTATTCAAGTGGTTAAGGTAAACCTAAACTCAAACAGTGAAGATCTGCAAAGATGTTACAAAGAACACATAGAATGGTTATTTTGTTTAACCAGTGCCATAAAAATATATTTTTTCTTGAATTACTCCAAAAACTGTAGTGTACTTCTGACAAAAACTGTATATAGTAGTTTGAAATCTTAGAATTGCGGCCTCTGACTACTAGTCTTAGATTTGGAGTGAGATGTAGTGATATCACTACCGTGCTTCTTACTGTTCTCTTTATGTCATGTATTAGGGAAAAGATCGGTTGTTGAGAAACCATAGGCGATACCAGTGACAAGTCCTTTGCACTTTTTTCACATTGTATACATTGTATATAAAAAAAACTATATAAAGTGAAATCTCTATTCATTAGGAAAAAAATGTTTACAAAGGAAACACACAGTTTCTGGTTACCTTGGTAACTGCTACCTTGGCACCCTTGTTGATAAGCTGCACAACATTATCCACTTGGCCTTTGTATGCAGCTACAAGCAGGCGTTCTGACAGTGCAGCGACCACATCCTGCTGGCTCATGAATTGGAAGAGGGAAGTCCTCAGGAAGAGTTCAGGATAACGATGTGCTCATTTACGGGCAATCTTTGCTGAGCAGTGTAAGTACTACATACTTGAGAGAGGAACACCTAATGAATAATGTGCTTCAGCTTTGGCATCTTGTGGATCTGAGAAAAAAGAAGAAAAAACATACTTGAGCAAAACCACAGAAACGCTTAGTACTCATAGACCATGGACAGGGCTCCATTCATTTTTTGTACACATTATGCTCATGTGTCTGCAGAATTATTGCAGTATACATAGTTCATTACTATGAAATCTGCTACTGCTGACTTGTTAACAGTGCATCATCTTTGACATTCCTTAATTAGTGAATCACTGTACTAAAAACATACATTGTTTTATCAAGCAATGAGATACCTAAATACATATATACTTTTTCTAAGAAAGTGTCTTACTAAATAGTTAAAAAAAAAATCTTTCACATTGCCCATTCAGGCAAGGTAACAGGTTCTTTTGAAATAACAAACCTACCACTCACTAGTACCTCCTTTACTGCAGTCCTCCATCCCTGTGGTATTCTGTTGCATTTACTGGTAAAAACCCCTATGTGTACAAGTATGGGGAAGTATTGGATCTTCTACGAGATCTCACAGGATGCAATGCTCAAGTCTAAGCAGCCAGTCACCAGATACAAACACTGTCACAGAGGAGTTTCACACAAGCTTTGAACTTCAACTGAAGAAGAGAATGGGAAGAAAATGAAGGGAAGGCAAGGCAAGTATCAGTTTTAGGGGGAGGTTGTTTTTTCAAGACAACTTCTCACTTTGCCTATTTTAAAGTCTTTAAACAAGAATAGGGTTAACAGTCTCATACCTATTATTACGTTTAATACTTTACATGAATCCACGATACATAAATATCACCATTACATGGAGCATCCTTTCCAGCACTCACCCAAAAAGCTTGAAAACCTGAAGAGCACCAACAGATTTAGTAGAGTGCACCTTCACAGGAAAGGGTGGAACCCAATCCTTGCGACCATAAAATTTGGATGGTCTGCCTAAGCAAACTACAAATGCTGTAGGGTTCGTTTGGGATTATATAAGAAAATCAGTCTTCATGAAAGAGTAGAGGAGACCAAACCACAACCAATGGAGTGAAATTTTAATTTTGGTAAACTGGACCTGGACAGAGGAGCTGTCACTATGCAAAAAGAAAAAGGGGTCCTTGCAGGATAACACCACCAGTTCAAATGCTCACCTTGCAGAGCTGATGGCTACAAGAAAGTCCATGTGGTTGAGAGTAGAGAACAGTATGCCTGTAATGGATTCAAATGGTAGTTTCTGGAGCACAGAAAGAACCACATGTAGATCCCATTAAATAACAGGGCAAAGGACACGGGTAGGTACATTAAAAAGTAAAAAAAGGCCCTCTGCACAATTACCACTAGAAATATATATATGTTGCAGCCTGCACTATGTGTTCCAACACCTCAGGAAATAATTTATGTTCTAATAATGCTGCACAACCTCACTGAACAATTGTGCATCATCCCTTATAAATTATCCTTTATAAACAAGGAAATATAAAATAAAGAAATAAAAAAAATAGATAAAAATAGCGTGTGTACTGGAAATTATGTTGCATTAATAAATTAATAATATAACCAATATAAATTTCCTGTTACACAAAGTGACAAAAAATTTAATTTTACTCAATATATCCAATGGATATCCAGTCCAATGGTTAAATGCTCAATGTGTTTAATCAATCCCAAATATGCCTGTGAAGAAATCAAGTGAACGAATCCAATAATGTGACTTGAACATGTTCCACCACCTTTCCACATACAAAATACATGCAGAGCCTATGATGTCATCAAACACACTAGGAAGAGAAGTCACTGGTTGTAATACAGAGCTGCTAATCTGAAGGAGCAAATTTGCATGACACTCCACCCAGCACATGACACCAGCACTCAGTCCCATACTATTAACCCATTCTGTGGCTAAATCAGTGGGAACAGGGAAATAAAAGTTGCTTGGCCTGGCCAGGTTACTCACTAAGTGGGTCTTTAGAGATAGTGCAAGTACTGAATCAAGAGCTATGAACCTAAAAAGACTCCACAGCTAGTTTTTATCAGAACATACTCTGTAATGTGCCCTACATGGAACCCAGTTTCCAAAAGTCACTTCTAGACTATACCAGCAAGTCTAGTCAGGGGCTGGATGTGGTACTCCAAAAACTAGGATGAGTTTCACCACACTGAAAAGCTTCAAAAAGACAAAGCTCCAGCAGTTATGTTGAGAAGAGTCTTGACTGAAGAAATAAATATGCTAGCAAAAATAAGTCAACACAGTTTAGCAGTAGAAAAAAAAACGTCCATCCTTCCAGGTCACTAGCAAAAACTTGAGGCATGCTGTTCTTCGGAGGGGTTATACTGGGCTGGACTACGGTCATTTTGTTTGCCAGTGTCTAATCCCCTTGTAGGTGGCAGTATAACCTGAAGATTAAAGACAGTGTCCCTCAATGGATGAGAAAATTATTTTCAATAAGCTAATTTCCTAAATATGTACTGTATATCTACAAAAATATACACACTAACATAAATAAAAAGGAATACAATATGTCTTCTTTTGAAACGTGAAAGGTATAATATACAGTGAGGAACAGAAGTATTTGAACACCTTGCGATTTTGCAAGTTCTCCCACTTAGAAATCATGGAGGGGTCTGAAATTCACATTGTAGCTGCATTCCCAATCAGACAGAATTGAAAAAAAAAATTCAGGAAATCACATTGTATGATTTTTAAAGAATTTATTTGTCTTGCACTGCTGAACATAAGTATTTCAACACCTGGGAAAATCAGTGTTAATATTTGGTACAGAAGCATTTGTTTGCAATTACAGAGGTCAAACGTTTCCTGTAGTTCTTGACTAGGTTTGCACACACTGCAACAGGGATTTTGCCCCACTCCTCCACACAGATCTCCTCTAGATCTGTCAGGTTTCGGGGCTGTCGCTGAGCAACATGGAGTTTCAGCTCCCTCCAAAGATGTTCTATTGGATTTAGGTCTGGAGACTGGCTAGGCCACTCCAGAACCTTGATATGCTGCTTGGTTATCCTGGCTGTGTGCTTCGGGTCGTTGTCATGTTGGAAGACCCAGCACGACCCATCTTCAATGCTCTGAGTGAAGGAGGTTGTTGCTCAAAATCTCACTATAAATGGCCCCATTCATCTTCTCCTTAATACAGTGCAGTCTTCCTGTCCCCTTTGCAGAAGGGCACCCCAAAGCATGATGTTACCACCCCCATGCTTCACAGTAGGGATGGTGTTCTTGGGAAGCAACTCATCCTTTTTCCTCCAAACACGACGAGTTAAGTTTAGACCAAAAAGATCAACTTTGGTCTCATCTGACCACATGACTTTCTCCCATGCCTCCTCTGGATCATCCAGATGGTCATTGGCAAACTTCAGACGGGGCTGGACATGTGATGACTTGAGCAGGGGAACTTTCCGTGCAATGCATGATTTGAAACCATGACGGCGCAGTGTTGTACCGACAGTGACCTTTGAAACTGTGGTTCCAGCTCTCTTCATGTCATTGCCCAGCTCCTCCCTTGTAGTTCTGGGCTGATTCCTCACGTTTCTTATCATCAGTGATATCCCACGAGGTGAGATCTTGCATGGAGCCCTGTCCGAGTCTTTAGCCTCTTCCATTTTCTAACAATTGCTCCAACAGTTGATCTATTTTCACCAAGCTGCTTGGCAAGTGCCCCGTAGCCCTTTCCAGCCTTGTGGAGGTCCACAATTTTCTCTCTGGTGTCTTTTGACAGCTCTTTCGTCTTGCCCATGGTAGTAGTTGGCGTCTGACTGACTGTGGGGTGGACAGGTGTCTTTAAAGAGCTCAGACAGGTGCTACTAAGTTAGATTAATGAGTGGAGTAGAGGTGGATTTTTTAAAGGCACAGTAACAGGTCTTTGAGAGACAGAATTCTTGCTGTTTCTTAGGTGTTCAAATACTTATGTTCAGCAGTGCAAGACAAATAAATTCTTTAAAAATCACACAATGTGATTTCCTGAATTTTTTTTATTTTTACATTCTGTCTCTCAGAGTGGGAATGCACCTACAATGTGAATTTCAGACCCCTCCATGATTTCTAAGTGGGAGAACTTGCAAAATCGCAGGGTGTTCAAATACTTCTGTTCCTCACTGTATATACACACTGACCATGAAACAAGATTAGTTAAAGTATATTAAGTCTGATAAAACTGATTAATACAAAAAAATTAATAATCAAAGAGAGTGAGCATAGTGTATTGATCCATGGGCTATGTATAATGCATATAGTATCAGTCTGTCACATTTGGTGATTGATATAAAGCATCACCATGCTGCTTCAAAGAATTTTCCTTCTGGCATTTGTGACTCTGCTTCATAAAAGGCTAACTAATTACTTGGATGTGCCACTCATTTACATCAGTCTTTTTTACTGTTGGAGACTTTTCGGAAGGAATTTACACTTTCAGCAATCTCTGGATTTTTTAGGATGTTGCTATATTTCATAATGGCTTTAACGAGCGTTTTGTAGACTGTAATAAAACATGTTTAAGTGTAGCAGATTTTTTCATCTATAAGTGGCTGACAACTTGCTGTTGGATAATTATTTTTTATTTTGCCATTTAGAGCCTAACTTCATGGCTACTTTAAGCCCATTAATATCAATCTAAACGCATGTATGAGGATGGGCATGGACTTTTAGAGAACAACCAAACACACAGGAAACAGATCAGCATACAGACAAAAACATTACAGAAGGAAAATATTAAATACAATTCTAATCAATTGAACAATATTTTATTTAAACATGCTACCATAAAAGGTACTGTGATACAATAGTATAGATTAGACTGCTCATTTTGCTGCCCCATATGAAACAAAACCTAAAACATCTGCAATGTGACTAACAAACAGGGGTATTATTGTGCCAAGGAACACCAAGATGCCACCCTAATGT